TAAAAACTGCTTAAAAAAAAAAAAATGTATCTAGGCTTCCAGAATGATAGGGACATATTAGTTCCTCTAAAGGTAATGCAGGAATGAAGAAGGAAGGAAGGAAGGAAGGAAGGGATGAGCAGTGTGGGCTCTGGCCGGTAATTAAGTCTCTAGGACAATATGGATGCGGGGAGGGAGCCTCTGCCAGGCCCAGTAAACACCTAGTCAGGCCCTGACTAGTGAGGTGAGCTTGGTAAACGCCATATCTCGGGAATAAAGTCAGACACAGGGACGTGGGAGTTCTGATCCACTTTCTTGGAGGTAACGTCAATATGAGCACCTTAGGACTTCGGTTAGTGCCAGGGAGTCGGTTCTGACTCATAGCAACTCTGTAAAGGGTTTCCGAGCAGGCGCTGGTGGCTTTGAACTGCTGATCTTGCGGTTGGCAGTCCAGTGCTTATCCTACCGCGCCTTACCAGGACTGCCAGGATTTGTTAAGTGCCGTCCAATCGGTTCCGACTCATAGTGATCCTGCATGTTGAGTTTGAACCATGGGCCCTGCAGTCCAGTGCATTACCTGATAGCACCACACCAGGTCGCCAAGGACTTATTTGATGTCGTTAAGTGCCGTCGAGGCACACTCATAGCGACCCTGTACTGTACCAAGTTTCTGAGGAGCAGCTGATGGGTTTGAACTGCTGACCTTTGGGTTCGCAGTCCAGTGCTGATCCTACAGTGCCACACCCAAAGTAGGACCTATTAGGATCTGTCATATCCAGGTCCCAGTACTCAACAGTGGCTCCTTGGGTAACCTATTCTGGGTCGTTATGGGTCGGAACCGACTCGAAGACACTTAACAACAGGTCCCAATGTGTGACAAGGGCCCGGCTGTTTGGCCACATTGTACCCGGACAGTAAAGAGATCCGCACAGACTGTGGTGTAGTCTGTAGTCGGGCTTAGCGAACAAACAGCATGAAAAGGCAGAATAGGTGTTGGTAGTCCCCAAGAGTGGACAGGGGGACGTGGGCCTGGGTATTCATGGATGCCTAGAGTGCGGAGCAGCCCGGCCTTTGGGGGACAGAGCGTGGAGTGGACGGAACGTGGAACTCGGGCACCCGGCTTCCTCTCCGGACGCCCTTCTCAGTTGCACCCGCCAACGTATAGAACACGGAGGAGCGTCTCCCCGAGACAGAGGAGTCAGCTGGCTGGGGCGGAGACCAAACTAGTTGCGGGTCAGTTAGCGCCGGCACCTCCCCTTCCGCCTTAGTCGCTTCCTCTCCAGCTGGGTAACCCCACGCTTCCGACTTGTCAGGAGACGATTCGTGGTCGTCCGGCCTCCGCGGAGGCGGTGACAAGCCCTTTCCGCCTCCCAGTCTCCGCTTTGGGGCCCGAGATTTGCCTCAGGGCTGGCGAGGACGACGCCTACTTCTCCGCGAGGTGAGCTGTGAGGGAAACGGGGTCTTTCGCTACTTCCTGGAGACGCCGGTGAAAGTAGGCCCGCCCCCGGATTCGTTCACCTCATCTCTGATTGGTTCGCCGCTCGCTTCCTCAGCCCTTCTGGCTGGCGATTGGCCGGGGCGCGCCGTCAGTCATCTGCGTCCCGGAGGGGGATCGAAGTCGCTAAGGAAAGCGTTACTTGATTGTCGGCTGGGCAGAGGTTGTTTGGAGGCCCTTGAGGCTAGTTTGTGTCCCATCGTGGGGACTGTGCCTCGGCGCGAGCTCCCGTCACAACGGACAGGAAGGGCACCCGTAACCGGACGACGGACCGAGGGGCGAGAAAGGGAAGGTTCAGAAGGGATTCGGGTGGAGCCCTGCCCTTGGCCACCACCGAATGGCAATAGGCTAGACGAAGGCCTCTGGGGTGGCGCTGGGGCAGGTGAGGCGGTGGGAGGACAGGGCCCTGCGGGAGCTTTGTCTGGGGACCCAGTGGCCTGCGTGTGCCCTCCATGAAGATCCAGGGGAGGAGCCGAAGCCTAGCAGCAGTCCCCTGTTTGCCAAGGGACAGATTCATTGGAATAATTGCTCTCTTCTTCCTTTTCTCAGATGGACCAGCCCACACAATGGAAGGATGGAGACCTGGGCGCTTACTAAAAGCACATTGAAAGGAAAGCAAGGTATTACGTCCTTTTACTTGTAGTTCGGTTCCATCTAGCTGGTACTGACTCATAGCGACCTTATGCCCAGCAGAACCATCACTGCCTGATCCTGGGCCAACCTCACAGTTGTTGCCACGCTTGAGTCCATCGATGCTGCCACTTGGCCAATCCATCTCACTGGGGGTCTTCCTCTTTTTCTCTGACCCTCCATCTTACCAAACATGATGTCCTTCTCCAGCGACTTGTCCCTCCTGACAATATGTCCAAAGTATGAGAGACGAAGTCTGGCCATCTTGGCCTCCAAGGAGCGCTCTGGCTGTAGTTCTTCCAACACAGATCTGTTGGTTCTTTTGACAGCCCGTGGCACTTTCAATATTCTCCTCCAACACCATAACTCAAATACATCAATTCTTCTATGATCTTCCTTATTCACTGTCCAGCTTTCACATCCATATGAGGTTATTTAAAATACCATGGCTTGGGTCAGGCGTGTGTTGTTGTTGTTAAGTACCTAGGAGTTGGTTCCGACTCACAGTGACCCTGTACAGGGTTTCCGAGGCTGTAAATCTTCACGGGAGCAGAAAACCTCAGCTTTCTCTCACAGAACAGATGGTAGTTTCGAACTGCCAACTTTGAGGTTAGCAGTCCAATTCGTAACCACTATGCTACCAGAGCTCCTTTGGGTCGTGCGTACTTTAGTTTTAAATTGAGGTGAATTGGACAGGGAAGTTGCCTGTTAAGAGACCTCCCAAATTTGGAATACAAGTAAGAGTAACTTGAATTATGATAGCTTTCAGCTTTCGAAGTTGTGCAGTACAAAAATCGTATGAAGTTGGTGGTTCAAACCTACCTGCAGCTGCTTGGAAACTTTATACAGGGTTGCTATGAGGCGGAACTGACTCGACAGCACTTCACAACCACCACCACAAAATACAAAGGAGCCCTGGTGGCTCTGTGGGTTAGGCATTGGACTGCCTACCGAAGGGTCAGCAGTTCAGACCCATGATCCATGGGAGAAAGATGACACTTTTTGCTCTAAGAAAGATATACAATCTTGGAAACTCTAGACAGGGTTGATATGAGTTGGAATCGACTGGGTGGCAGTGAGCTTACCAAATCCGAGTGAACTTCAAAAAGCTTGTGGACCAATTACATTACCTTTTTCATGGCATTTTTCAACACACTTTTTGAAACCCACTCTTAATGTTCTTTGCTGATGATCTTCTAGTCCTGATTATTCTGAAAGGAAAACGAGAGCTTGAGTGCTCACTAGTGTTAACTCTCATTTGAGTGACCAGTCCAGCTAGCTCATTATCAAAAACAAGACATCGTGATTACTGTAAAAAAAAAAAAAATCACAAATTTGTGATTTCATTTAAAGTGCACATGAAATTGGATAATTGACCACTTACATGGTGGTTTAGAACTGTAAGCTAATCTTACAGTTAATGCAGCTTGCTGAGTAAACACTTTGTAGGTTTTGAGTCAGAATTAAATCAAGTGGTTCTATAGGCAGCCTAACCATTTGATCCTCTGGAGTTTATGAATTCAGGTTCTAGTAACATGTACCCGTTAGTAGTGTAAGGAAACATGGGGGCACTAACATGGGCTGCTAACCTCAAGGCTGGTGGTTCAAACCCACCTGTCACTCCAAGGGAGAAAGAGGAGGCTGTCTTCTCCCATAAAGAGTTAGGGCTTGGAAACCCTAAATAGTATCTATTGGAATTGATTCCACACGAGTGGTTTTTTTTTATTTTAGTTTTGGTGGCATGTGGGGAAACTTCAAAAGTTTGTAGAAAAATGGAATTAAAAGATAATGGAATGTTTCCGTGAGCTTTAGCCCTCAAGAAACTAGCAATTGTCAAGGAATAGTTCGTCACAGAACACCTCAGGTGACCTCTTTAAAGGTAGATAATGGCTCTACACTGGGAAGTCTACTTTTTAGGTTTAGGGATAAAATCTGGCCCCATATATTTTTACATGTCCTCGTGTCGTTTTGATATGTACTCCCAGCTGAGAACCGGTACCTTAGGGGCTTAATGGTCAAGAAAAATTATAAAAGATTCATGAAAAAAAATTTTTTGAGCCGAGATATCCTTCTAGTTTCAAAATAGGCTTCTGAGGGATGACATTTATGTGTGTCCCCCCACCCCCCAGCCCTTTGGAAGTTGTGGGCTGACTTTCAGTTCATGCCTGGGGATGAGGCTTGCTATGGGCACACTCCCAGTGCACTCTGCTCCCTCCCAGTCCACAGAGCCATGCGTGGAGTGGGCTTTCCTGTTGGGTTTCCAGGAGAAATCCATAAGATAAATTACAAGGGGGCGTCATAAAGGCTTGTGGAAAAATCCCCTTATCTTTTAATGCCATTTTTCCATGAACTTTTTGAAGTGCTTTCATATTTTTACAATGTAGAGTAATATTACATTCATTAGTTTCATTTTGAGAAAATTCTTCTTGGAAATAACTAACTAACTATGCCCTCCCAATAGGCCTTTGCTTATGCAGTAAAAAGAACATGAATAACTAAAGCCTGAAATGTGTGCACTAATGGGAGATAGCCAGGTATTTGGAAAATCTGTGAGGGCGTTTAGTGAACCAGAGTCTTTAACAGGGTGGTTTTAAAAATGTACCATGTTTTTACTCACCATGCTTGCTGTAGGGTTTTTAAAACAAACCACGCAACCCCCTCAAACATTAGTTTTGAACGCTAGTCTGATTTAAACTCTGAGCTTTAGGCAAAGAAGTGGGTCCCTTTGAGTTCTGTCTCCTAGAGACTGGTTTTTATTTACGTGCACACTTGCCAGTGTGGGTAAAAAGAGCAAACAAACAAAAACTAAGGTAAATCGTCAAGAGCCATGTGTAGCCCATGACTCAGCCCTTGTCTTTTGTGTCTGTCATTGACCAGAAAGCCAGACTTTCTCGGTATGGATCCGGCCGGCTCTAGATCAGATGCTGCTGATGAAGGGACCGCTTTTCCAGACCGTCGTCCTCGTGACAATGAGAGAAGATGGCAGCAAGAGCGTCTCCGCAGAGAAGAAGCTTATTACCAGTTTATGAATGAACTCGGTGATGAAGATTACCGGCTAATGAGAGACCATAATCTGTTAGGCACCCCTGGTAAGATTCACAGCCTTGGGAACCTAAGGAACAGTTCTCCTTGTTCCTGTGAGTCAGAATTGACTCGGGGGCAGTGGGTGTGCAGTAATAAATGAGCAAAAAAGCAGGTGCCTTACTTCATTATTGTTGTTGTGAAGTGCTGTTGAGTCAGTTCCGAGACCCTGTATAGGGTTTCCAAGCAGAAACTGATGGGTTTGAACTGCTGACCTTGTGCTGATCCTATAGCATCACACTAGGAGTTGTATTTCATTATTTTGTTGTTGTTGTTAAGTGCCATCAAGTCGGTGCTAACCCACAGTGACCCTGTATGCAGTTTCCGAGGAGCAGCTTTCCTTGCAGTTTAAACCCACTTTGTAGTCCAACACATTAACCCACAGTGCCACACCAGGATTCCATTTAATTATTAGAAGGGAGAAGCTCAAAATCAGCAGAGTTTGTTTTTTTAATGTCTCCTCTTCCTCCGAAGTGTATGATGTTAATTGCCATTGAGTCAGTTCCGACTCATAGCAGCCCTATGGGTTTGAACGGCCAACCTTGCACTGGTTTTTTATGCGTCTAAAGACTTTTTGAATATAACAAAATGAAAAATCGCTGATTAACGTCTGGATTTTATAAGTATGTGAAGACTATCATGGAATACTGTTATACAGATGCCAAACGACTAAAAATAGCTTGATGTACAAAACTGTGTTCAGTATTACATGAGCGAGGGTGCTTTCAAGTTCGTGGAAACAATCCATAATCTTTCCATCACATTGTTCACAAACTTTTTGAAGCCCCCTCCTTTGGTTCTATTTCAATTAAGTAATATTAACTCAAATTAAAGACTGTGATTTAAAGTCCAACCCTAACTCATTTGAGGGGGTCATTTATTGACTCAGCTGGATTAGGCACTCCCCAAAACTCCAGTGTGCTTCAGAAATTTGCTAGAAATGCATGGACTTAAATTGTGACCCACATAATGAAGTGTCGGGGTTCAATTCAAGTAAGGAAAGGTTGAATTTTTTTTTTTTTTTAAATAATGACCTTTAATATTGTTTTAATCTAATAGGACAAGCTCTAAGTTTATGTTTTAACTATATTGAAATCCGTAGACTTATAGCTCTGTATATCAACTGAGAGCATCATGTCAGTTATTCACATTAAAAATTGCTTTGAGATATTTTAATAGCATTGAATTGATCCATGTTTGCATCCTGGTATTGTGCTGTAGGATAATACACTGGACCGCAGGATCAGTTTGAACTGCAAGGTCAACAGTTCAAACTCCCCAGCTCCTCCTCGGAAACTATACATGGTCACTAAGAGTCAAAATGAACTCGTCAGCACTTAACAACGTTTGTGTCAACTGAGCATTTGTTAAATGTTTTCATTTTACAGAAGACAAAAAGACAATAGGACACACCTCCAACAGCCTGCTGAAGATGCCCTTTAAGAGAGCTCAGAAACTTGGTTATTTTACACTTTCTTACTTAAAGTGAGGGTATTTTCTTTTAAATTGTTTTAGGAGAAATAACATCAGAAGAGCTTCAACAGCGGCTAGACGGTGTCAGGGAACAACTAGCATCTCAGCCCGACTTGAGAAACCAGGGACATGAGACAGTCTCCCAAGGTACGTCTTGTGTCTCTTCTCCATGGGGAGTGGCAGGATTGGAGCAATTACAGATATGGCGGGAATGGGTCTTCCACGGTGTGTCCAGGAGTCCTGCTGGTGTGGTGGGTTCAGTGTTGACTGCTAGGCGCAAAGTCCACAGTTTAAACCCACCAACTGCTCTGTGGGAGGAGGATGGGCCTGTCTGGCTGGCAGAGGTTTCCAGTCTTGGAAAGCCTGTGGCGCAACAGCTCTGCTCTGTATGAGAGGGTCCCTATGAGTGGCTTTTGCAGTGTTGATTTGGACTGCTTTCCAGTTTCAGTGTAATGTTTGTTCAGGTAATTCACCTGCATGTGAGCTGTGTGAAACAGCATGCTCAGGCCCTCTGGCACAGGTGCATGAGTACAGGGTTGTCTGTCTGCCTGCACACATAGACGCCTCCAGGAAGCCTGAAATAGTAAGCAGTGAAGTCAGTCCTCAGCAGAGCTACCAAGCTGTCCTTGAGTCGGTACACCATGTGTCAGAACTCTGCCTGGCTCTTCTCAGCCTTGGGCCATCCACGCTTACTTTCTCCAGTGTGCCCTGGCTCAGTCTGGCTCCTGATAGCAGTTATCACGCCACTGAGAGTCAGGCAGCGAGCTCCTGGTGCTTCATTGTTGTATTTCTTCTTTTGTTTGCTTGGACGGTTTCTTGAAAAAGCCCTGAGGCAGGGTAGGAGAAGTTCTTATTAAAAACAAAGTATTTACTTAAAAAAAAAAAACTTAAAAGGAGTAGAGTATTTGGAGTTAGAGGTAAACCCAGCTTTCTTGCCCCTCTACCAGAGATGTCAGTTAGTAGCGGTTCACATACAAGGAGCCTTCAAAAACTGCCTGGGGAAAGTCCATCTTCCTTTTTTTTTTTGGTGGGGGGGTGGGTTTGAACTTTTGGTTATGAATTGATGAAGATTCACAACTTTACATTCAACAGATTTTACACTTTGTTTCATCTCAATGATTACATTTCCCTCCATGCACAACAGTCGTCCCTGTGTTTCCTGTTTCCATTCCACCCACCTTCCCATCCTGTCTCAACTTGGTCCTTAGGAAAATGCTGCCCTTTTGATGCTGAAGGATTGAAGGATTGACCATTCATTGCATCATTGCATGTTGCTGCTAGTGTTGTTGTTCCCCCCCCCCCCCCCCCCCCCCAATAAACCTATCCAGTGCTTGGCTGAAAACTGGACCAAGAGAGTGAGTTCCTTTCCAGATTTGAAGGGTGGTTGAGGGCCATAGTCTCAGGTTCCTCCAGTCTCTTTTTGTCCAATAAATCTGGACTTTTTTTTTTTTTTTTTTTTAAGTAATTTTGAGTTTTGTTCCACACTCCCCCCACTTTGTCCAGGACTCTCTGATGTGATCCCTGTCAGGGAAGTTGGGAGTGGTAGCCGGGTAGCATCAGTTTCTTCTGATCTCAGAGCAATGGAGACTGGTGTTCACATGTTCCATTAGTCTGTTGATTCCAGGTCTCTTCGATTGTTATCACTCTTCAGTTTTCCACACCTGGAGCAACTAGTAACTGCACCTAAGATCTTAGGCCACTTCTGAGCATTCAAGACCCCAGTTGCTACTTGCTAATGTAGGATGTAGACACTTGTCTCTGTGGATTCTGTTATGCCAACTGACCATGGACCCCTCCAGGTCCATAAACTTACTGCCTTAAGAAGTTTGATAAGTTTGCCTACTGTGTGCTCCACCACATTCATAGGTGTGTTTGCAGGAAAGGTATACACTCATGTCCACATGTCCTCTTTCAAACTCATATACTTGTGGAATATTAAAATGTATATATTCCCACTCTTCCGCCCAGAGCCATTCAGCCTATGTCTCTGTCCACGATTGTTCCAAGGTTGTGTGTGTATCACTGTTTACTTGCATATCCTCTCTGACTCGTGCAGACCTTCCTGTGTCTACCTTGCTTTATTAGAATTCCACCCCTTCCCAGACATCTGAGCTAGTATGTGTCTGCCCTCTCGCCAAGGAATTCCTCTCCCCTTCCTCCCACCCCTGGTAACCATCAAAGAATGGTTGGTTTAGTCTGGAAAGCTTGTCTTCAGTTTTTACAATAGTAGTCTTCTACAAGATATGTCCTTTTGTCATGGACTAATTTCCTTCAGCATAATATCCTCCAGGTTTATCCAAGTTAGAAGGTGTTTCTCAGCTTCCTTGTTATTCTTCAGGGTTGCATAGTATACCAGAGCTTGTTTATCCACTCTGCCATTGATGGGCACTTCAGCTGTTTCCATCCTTACGTTACTATGATTCTTGCAGCAATAAACATTGATGTGCATGTATCTAATTTGTTCTGGTTGTGTTTCTAGTGGATATATACCAAGTAGAGGGATTGCTGGGTCATAAGATAGTTCTGTTTACATTTTTCTGAGGAAGTGCCAGAATCTCCAGAGTGGTTGAAACATTTTACAGCCACACTAGCATTGTAGGAGGGTTCCAGGCTCTCCACACCCTCGCCTAACACTTGTTTTCTGGGTTTTTTTTTGAACTTTGCTGTTAATGCTGCTGTGAGATGATATCTCATTGTTGTTTAGATTTGCATCTATCAAGTGATCTAATGATTGTGAACATTTTTTTATATATTTGTTGGCTGCCTGGATTTCTTCCTTGGTGAAGTGTCTGTTCATGTCCTGTGCCCATATTTTAACTAAGTTGTTTGTCTTTTACTTGTAGAAGTGTTGCAGTTTTCTATAAATTTTAGATAATAGTCCCTTGTTTGATACGTTGTTACAAACATTTTCGCAGTCTGTGGGCTCCCTTTTACTCTTTTGGTGAAATCTTTTGATGCACGTAAGTTTCTAATTTAAGAGGTCTCAGGAGTCCTGGTGTGGTGCTGTGGGTTCATGCACCAGACTGCAAAGCCATTTGAATTGCAAGGTCAGTGGTTCAAGTTCACCAGCTGCTCCTTGGAAACCCTATACAGGGACGTTATGGGTGGGAACCACCTCAATGGCACTTAGCAACAACAACAGTCGTAGTTAGGAATCACAGTTTGAAACTACTAGCCGTTCTGCGGGAGAAAGATGAGGCTTTCTGCTCCCATAAAGATTTACAGCTTCGGAAACCCTGTACAGGGTTGCTGTGAGTCGGAACTGACTCCACGGTGCTTAACAACAACAACAAAAGTCATCTATTTTGTGTTTTTTTTTGTGTGTGTTTTTTAGTAATGTTTGATAGTGTATGCTATGTATTAGGGCCCCTACGTTTGTACCTATTCTTTCGTTGATGATCTTTATAGTTCTAATTTTACATTTAGATCTTTCAACCATGCGTGTTGTTTGTTTTTGTATAATGGTGTGAGATACAGGTCTTGCTTCAGTCCTCTGCAAATCAATGACACTTCCAGTTGTGTCAACACCATTTATTGAAGAGATTGTCTCTTCCCCATTTAATGTGATTTGACTTTTTGTCAAAGATCAGTTGACTGTATGTGAATGGATTTACTCCTGGGTTCCCAACTCTGCTCCATTGATCTCTGTATCTTTTCTTTGTACCAGCACAGGGCGGTTCTGACCATTGTGGTTGTGTAGTCAGATTTGAGTTCAGTGAATGAGAGGCCTCCAACTTTGCTTCTTAAGCAGAGCTTGTCTTACCCTAGGGCCCTTTCCTCTCCATGTGGAGTTCATGACGGTTTGTCCATCTCTTTAAAGGATGAGGTTGGAATCTAGATTGGGATTGTGTAATATCTGTATTGCTTCAGGTTGTATTGGCATTTTCACAGTGTTAAGTCTTCTTATCCACGAACATTGTATAATCTTCCATTTTTGTAAATCTGTTTGGTTTCTGGTAGTAGTGTTTTGTAGTTTTTTTTGTAGAGGTCTTTTGTTTCTCTAGTTAGATTTACTTTAAGTATTTAACCTTTTGGGTGGCTATAAATTAATCCCATTTTTCTATGAACTTTTTAAGATCCCTCGTCATGTTTGAGGGTCATTGTAGTAGACAGGGCAATGGCTGCATAGACACCTAGAAGTGCTAGGACTCAAAAGAGATTTCTCTCTCAGGATAATAGTCCAGGGAAGAGAAGCAGACTTTGTCTATAAGCACTCCTGGTTCTGAACCAGTACTTTCCAATACAGAACATGCTAGCCAATGTGACAAGTCAATGTAAGTGAATGAAAAGGAAATAAAATGTATATTGGGTTTCCTTGTGTTGTGGGTACATGGAGAGTGAGCAATAGGTATAGAGGGATTTTGAGAAGACAGGATTGAACAGTGATGCTTGAAGGTAGTGTTTTGAGTGGTCCACCTGACTCAGACCCATGTCTGGGCTATAGCTAACAGGAAGTTGGAGGCCACAGTGAGTCAGCAGACAACAGCCTGAACATCCTTCATAGTCAAGGGCTGAGAACTTGTTCAAGTGGCCATAGCTACCTGCCAAGAGGCGCACACGCTCATCAAAAGAGATCTTAGTATTGCGAATGATTAATATTTACAGTCCTCTGCTCTCCCAACTAAGCTATCGAAGGACTCTGTCGAGTGATTCATATTTATCCGCCCTTTATATCCTTTTTTGTTCTGCACACTAACTTGAAGAAGTGGGCTATTAGTCCATATGTGTCTCTGTGTTCTGAGGTGTAAGTCTTACTCCGTTGACACCTTGGTAATACTGGTCCTTTGAATGCAGTAAAAGCAGATCTATTTTATTTAGTAGAAATTTTTGAATAGAACACAACTTTAAGGTTTAAGTCACGTAATTACTGTGGATGAGAATGCTTTTCCTTAAGTTTACACTTGTTTAAAAATGAGCAACCCAGGGGTAGGGCAGTGGTACTACCTTAGTCAACGAAGTTTACCTGGACATGTTTATCTCTAAATCGATTTCCTCAGCAACTATTACAGGACAGTTCCATTTGTCAGAGACGGTTCTAGATGCTTGAGTGTGTGTTGTTGTTGTTAGGTGCCAT